AAACTTGTAAAGCTTTGGCATCCCTCTTTGATCCACAATCAACTCCGGAAATAATCCATAAATTGACAACACTTGAAGCTCTGGAAAGCTGTTTTCTCCTGAGAAATCCATCGTGATTGATTGGCTGTATTTACAATATATCAATTGAAGGAACTCTAATTTGCGTAGTTCCTTTAGTACCTTCATTGGATCCTCGGTGAATTTCATGTCCCAAAGGCGAAGGAAGATAAGGTTTGGAGGGAATTCAATGATGTCAAGCTTGATTAATGGAGAATAAGATACAGCTGTAATAGTCAAACTAGCAAGACGGTCATAGCGGGACAAGTTTAACCTCTCAAACTTCTGAGTGAACCACAATTCCAATTTTTGGAGCTTCTCCGATATGGGTGTTTTACCAGATATGACATTTAAACATTGGTCATTAATCTCGTATAACAATAGCTCTCTCAAGTTGGAGAGATTTTGTAATGAGCTAGCTTTCAAAATGGTACCAGGCATCCCAAATAAAGTTTCTACGTTCGGTAAATACACCTCATTTCTGACATTCAAATTTGTGCATTTGTTAGACTCAAACATTTACCTCTGCCTAAGCGTAAATACTTCAAATGCTTCATCCTGAAAATAGTTGTTGGCAAACCACAATTAAATTCTGCTTGAAGAATATCCAATGTCACCAATTTCCTGAGATTTTACTGCAAGGAAAGAAGAAAACAAGGAAGAAACAGTATAAACCATATATTTAGAACTAGAAAAAGCACACTAACCTCTTGAATGGTGGTCTAACTTCAAGGGTCCTCCCCCATTATTTCACGTAGTCTCTCGGGAAAATTGAAGTCTTTTGGTTTGCACACAAACTTGTTAAGCTTTGGCATCCCTGTTTGATCCACAATCAACTCCGGACATGATCCATAAATTGACAACACTCGAAGCTCTGGAAAGCTGTTTTCTCCTGAGAAATCCATCGTGATTGATTGGCTGTATTCACAATATGACAATCTAAGGGTCTCTAATTTGCGTAGTTCCTTTAGTACCTTCATTGGATCCTCAGTAAATTCCATGTGCCGAAGGCTAAGGGAGATAAGGTTTGGAGGGAATTCAATGATGTCAAGCCTTAATGGAAAAGTAGATTCAACATCCAGACTCAACTTAGCAAGACGATCATAGCGGGACAAATTTAACCTCTCAAACTTCTGAGTGAAGTGCAAAACCAGCTCTTGGAGCTTCTCCGATATGGTTGTTTTACCAGATATTACATTTATACATTGGTCATCAATCTCATATAAAAACAGCTCTCTCAAGTTGGAGAGATTTTGTAATGAGCTAGCTTTCAAAATGGTACCAGGCATCCCAAATAAAATTTCTACGTTCGGTAAATACACCTCATTTCTGACATTCAAATTTGTGCATTTGTTAGACTCAAACGTTTTAGCATAGCCTAAGATTAAATACTTCAAATGCTTCATCCTGAAAATAGTTCTTGGCAAACCACATTTAAAATATGCTTCATGAATATCCAATGTCACCAATTTCTTGAGATTCCTTATGGTTGAAGGCATCCTTTCAAATCTCCCTCTCAACTGAAGGAAAGTCAACCTACTCAGATCTCCTATCTCATTAGGAATCAAAGTCCATCCTTCTCTTGAGTTAGAGAAACAGAACAAGGTACGAAGTTTTGGAGTTTTTGAATAAGAAAATTGACTAGTGTTGTCGATAGTAAGTCTACGAAGCATTGAAAATGAATTAGAG